CTCGTTAAATTGTCATACATACGTTCGCGTTTATCGAATTCCGTGTAAGTTCGGGAAGTCGCGCGGCGCAAACACGAAAATATAGAGGCCCGGAGAGAGGCGCGACAGCGACGCGGCGGCTGGTCCTTACCGTTTTGAAGTTCGCGTGAATTATTGCGGGCTGTCGCACATGCCTTGTGCATGCCTTCGAGAGGCGCTTGCGAGCGAGAGAGCATCGCGCCCGGGTTGAAGGGGGAGAAAGAGACTATATACGTGTGTGTGTGGGGAGAGGTAGCATCTGCCCGGGATGCATTCGGGCGCTGATAGCTTTGTCGGCTTCCCGCATCTACACGCTCCTACGCGCTGAGCCGCTTAAGAAGCGGCCTTTCTTCCACGTTCCCACTTCGTCGAGAGCGTTCGGCTCCGTCCCCCTATTGTAAAAAAATCTCGTGATTCCGAGACGGTACTGCAAACCTGGTCGCCGAGATAGACACACACGCACACACACACACAGACACACTCTCTCTCTCTCTCTCTCTTCCTGCGACACTTGATGTCATAAAATTTTCCAATTTATTTTTTATATCGACAAAATATTTGCCTTGTGTGATACAGAATATATACAATTCGTTTGACGGATCGCAAAACAACAGATATATTCTATGGAAAAAAAACAGATATTATGAGAAACGTAAATTTCGAGCGTCACTGAAAATTGTTGTGTTCGGTCATATATATATTCTTGAAAGAGAGAGAGAGAGTTAAATATCTTAATTTTTGTTTTTTTATTTGCCACATATTTTGTACAATGTTCTTTTTTTAATCATTTTCTTATTTAGTTTTTACCTCCTTTGGCCCATCTTTATTTATTTATTTATTTTTTTTGTTTTCAAAAACGGTCGAGTCTTCCGGTGTCATACGCGGCTGGATTTTCCATCGTCACACGTGACCAGTCCGATATTGTGCGGGGTTTCTCTCGCGTCGATCGACTTGCTGGCGCAGCGCGCGGATTAGCTAATGCGCCGCAAGCGAACCGCGAAAGCTCTTCCCTTTTTTCGCGGCCGTGCGAATCGCAGCACGAAGCCGTTGCTCTTTTTTTTTTTTTTTTTTCTTTTTCGAACAATCTTTTTTCGCGTCGGCACGAAGAAAGGAACTTCCGCCTGAATCGCGCCGTTGTGTCGGGCAGCAGCACGCGAACCGCGCCGCGCCTATAATCCGTTGCCGTCCGCAAGGACTTGCGCTATTCGAACGTTTTCTTTTCATCGAAAAGACCGCGAAGAGAGATCAATAATAATAACGGGACACAAGCCTGGCTACCGTATAAAGCGCAACAAAATCAAATCTCTGAGTAGCAAAAGAGAGAAAAAAAAAACAATCAGCACATCGGATTTTATTGCAAATTATCTCGCGTTATAACGTTGTCGAGTTGAGTATGTAAAACGATAATGAAACAAAACACACTTAGGTAAATGCACACACTAAAGATATCTTATCTCTCTTTATCCACTTTAAAACTATACAATACTATCGCGGCAATAGCTTTCACTTTCGATAATATAATATCTTCGATACGATCAATCGATAAGGTTTTCTCTAGTGTAAAAATGTTAAGTAATCTTGAGAGAGAGAGAGAGAGAGAAAGAGAGAAAAAATGTAGATTCTTGATTTAATGCATTTGTAGAAGCAGCTATTATATGAGCGCATAGAGTTTGTTTCAAATGTCTCTCGTACTTTTGCTAATTGAATATATGTTTCAGGCAATACTAATTGTGTGCGCCGTTTCTTTAATACATAATGAACATTCGCTCGCGGAGAGACCTGGAAGTTAGAAGAAGAAGAACAAATGAGCTTTAATTGGCGGAATAACACACCGTGTATTTTTTTTTTTTTTCTGGCTAAAATACGACAAAATCCGCAAATGCCGCGATATTCAATCCGCCATTCTGCAGACATAATCTTTTCAAACATTGATGCGGCCGCATGCGCGACGTACCTGTCTTATATGTATAAAGGGACCAGACGATTTTAACGAGACTTTTGGGCGAAAAGCTCGTTTTGTTTGAATCATAATTTGTCGGACGGTGGCGAAAATGAATTGCCGATCCCCGACGAGCGCGAAGAAAATATTTACTTCCGCGAGAAACGCGCGCGCCCTCCACACTGGGAAAGGTGTCTCCACAACACACAAGTCACAAATAAAATTCTAATAATTGTGTAAGCTTCAATTACTGATTTTCCTCTCAGAATTAATATTATTTCTTTACATTCGCTCTTTCACATTTTTTTTCACACCGATTCAAGCCTGGATTGGAGGCTCGATTCGGTTCGCTTTTCAATCGATAAACTCGACTTAAAAAAAGATTCGGTTCGGAAAAATCCGATGGTGTGGATTTTCGAACTCGGGAGCAGCCCTCGCGCTTATCAGACTGCGAGAACACCGGGCCGCGGTCTTTCACACGATTATTATTATCGCGATAAAAAACGATACCCGAAGAATTTATACGTGACATGTAAAAAATGTAAATTCCTATAATATAAATATAATAATAAGTATATATATATATATAATAAATTATTGTACAAAATCGCGTGCGAATTCGCTCAAAAATCATACAAGAGAATAAACAACAAAAACACATAGACGTTATTACAAATTCGCATAATGTAGAATTTTTTTTTCGTTACTTTCCGATTTAACGTCCCGTGTGTGTGTGTGAAGAGAAGATTTTCTTTTCTCTAAATTACTACGATTAAATTAAATTTATAGTCTCTGCGCGCTGTACACGCGTATATTTTTCATATTTATCCAGAGGAAAATCCGAAACCAAAACCTTACGCTGCGCGATGTTTCTAACATTTGTCGGACATTGCGCAGAAATCGACCTAATCGATAGCTCGAAAAAGAGAGAGAGAGATAGAGAGAGAAAGAGAGCAGAGCGACGGTCTCTTGCTGATGCGCACCGCTTTACGGAGAGACGCGCGTTTAAAGTGTGTATACTGCGAATATTTCTTTTTTAAATATCAACGATTTATACCGAGAAAGCACGACGCGAAAAGAAACGACGAGAGAAGCGCAGAATCGTTTTTTTTTCTTTTTTCTGTGTGTCTCGTAAAAAATGCAGAAAGATGACAAAAGAGCGTTCTGCTACGTGACATCTCTGTGTCATTTGCGCGAAAACTCGCGATGTGCAGCAAGTACGCGCGCGGTCGCAATTAAAAGAGTCAGATTATGTGTTGCGCGTCTCTCTCTCTCTCTCTCTCTAACTGTTATTTTAAAATTTATTACGCCGTGAATATATTTGTGGTCTTAGTTCTCTGTGTTCCTCTCTCTCCCGCGCGTGATTAACGCTAATGCACGTAAAATTTCGCCGCTGATAAAAAAAATCTTGCACGATTTCATCCTGTTTTCTTTACGAAGGTGTTTAATGAACTTCTTTTTTTTTTTTACAGACAGGTTTTACAGCGAATCATCGATTCAACACACGCTCTTCAAACATAATTTTGCAACACTCCGCGCTCGGTCAAAGCGATCGTCAAAACTACAACTGTTCGCGCGAAATATTTTTACGCAAAATGATTCCCGTGTCTCTTCGTAATGCACGCGGACATTCAATCCGCGCGATATCTAACCGCGAAGTGAAAATTGAGTGAGAGCTTTGTCCGCAACAAGCTCCGCGTTGTTTTCCTAGACTTGTTCGACACGGATACCAACTTGAGTGCAAATGAGTTACGCACGAAGAATTTCTAAAACCTTGTACGGAACGTGTGTGTGTGTGTTCTTCTCTCTTTCTTTCTATCTCGCGTCGACTTTCATTCTGCCTGTAATTCGACTGATCTTGCCCGCGATTTTTGACGCGAACGCGCTTTCATCAAAGCAAACGTTCGATCTTTGTACCGCGCGCAAATTAAAAAAAAAAAGAAAAAAAAAATACATAAGCCGATTTTCGACAGCTGCTTTGAGAATCTCGCGCAAAATCTTGGATCATGCAGCTTGGCAGTAACGACGCGGTCGTCGAGAAGTATAGCCGAAGAACAAACGAGAGGAGAAACGCAGAAAAGAAAAGAAAAGAAAAAAAAAACGCGCGCGCGCGGATATCGCGAGCTAAAGTCGAGCGTTACACGGGCGTAGTGTGCCACAGGCACGACATAGATACCGGCCGTTTGGTTACCGCTTCGGCCGACATCACGGCAGCGAGGTGGATTAACGGAGAGAGAAGGGAAAGAGAGACAGAGAGAACGAGGAGGACCACATGAAGGTGCCCATGAAGAAACACCGTCGATAAAGTGAGAAAGAGAAAGAGAAACGAGAGAGGGAGAAGGATGACGTCTCGCGGCGAAGACGGAGAGCGGAGGATACACGACGACACACATCGTCGGTAGCTGTGCGAAACGAGAGAGTGAAAAAGAGAGAGACAGAGAGAGAAAGAGATGAGACAAAGGAACAGCAGAGCGAAGGGCGACCGGGGGAGGGCCGTACTACAAAGAAGGGTAGCAGGAAGAAGAAAAGGCGTACAGGGTGGGCGAGAGAGGTAAAGAGAGAGGAAAGAGAAGAGGAAAGAGAGAGAGAGAAAATTTGATCGCGCCGGTAGGAGGAGAGAGCGTCGAAGCGCGGCGGAGGTGGATGATGCGCGGCCGGCACACGATACCGCGAAGAGAGGAGAAGGATACGCGGGAGTCGCGGAGGAGGCAGAGAGAGGATAGGCACGCGAATCGATTAGGTGCGCCGTCGGCCATTTTGTTGCCGGTACGCCGGGTCCCGGAGAGGCGTGGATGTGGACGGCGTCGACTCCGCCGCGAGGACGAATCGTTCGGGATCGCGACGCCGCTCACTCGCGTTCGATAGGGCGTCCAAAGGTGGTAGGGAACACCGCCGGACTCCACGGGGGCTCCATAGTGGGGAGGAAACGACAGTAGTAGACGACGACGACGGCGGCGGCGGCGGCAGCGGCGGCGAAAGAGAGCAGCGATAGTGGGGTCCGGCAGCTCTCGGTTAGGGTTAGGTCGAGTTCTCGAGCAGACTATAGCGAGACACGTAACTGGCAGTCAGTGGCTCCCAGGGCCCCGCGCTGTCAGTCTCGTTGGGGTAGTTTTGGTGCAACTGTGTGTTTCTCTCTCTTTCTCTCTCTCCTTCTCTCTTTCTCTCTCTCTCTCTCTCTCTCTATCTCTCTTTCTCTCCCTTTTTTCCCCTCTCTCTTTCTCCCGGTGCCTCCCCTTTCTTTCTCTCTGTGTTTCCGCTTACCCCCTTCCTTCCTCTTCCGCGGTCTCTACCTCTTTCCTCGGCGTCTCCTTGTTCGCACTTCTGCCCACGATGATTGTTTCTTTTTGCCTGCCCTTGTCTGCCGTCGTTCCGCCGGTCGGTGTGTTTCGCGAGCTCCGATAGTGGATCCGTGGCTTGTGTTCATGTCGGCGTCGTTGTTAGGTATTAGCAGTGAGTGATACGAGCGTACCGAATAACGACGCTTGGTACCCCTTTTTTTTTTTTTAGTGCCGCGACGCGATCCCGAACGGACCGGTTGGACACTGGATTGGTTTTTTTTTTTTGGAAGCTGGTTTGGTAAGAGTGAACGCGAGTCCGGAACATATATCGGGGAACGTTGTTAAAAGAGCTTCATCGTTGATTGTTGCCTGCACAGTTGCAAAAAAATCGCCCACCGAAAAATCGCGATACACCTACTACCTGACATAGGTAGCGGGTGTGGTATATTGCGACAGAGCTGCGGTTAAACCTGAAGTCGCGATACTCGACTTGAGAGAGAGAAGAAGAAGAAGAATCCGTTCTACGCGCGAGAGACACCACGAAGAGAATCGTGAGAGACTTGCGTCGGTGGAAAAACTAAATAAACCGAGCCGGATGAAACTGGGAGAAAATTTCCGACGAAGCGAAACCGTGGAAATGCTATGTAAACGGAATTAACTTGAGGAAGCATTTGTGATGAGAGTGGCCGGCTCGAGCTGTACGAATGCTCGCGACGAAGATTAAATTCTGGGGCGCCAACCCACAACTGGGAATAGAAAATTCAATTCATTTTTTTGTGTGAAAAAAAAAAAGAATCAGTAAAAAAAACTCGTCACCATCTTAAACCGAGTACGCACTTTTCCTCGATCGGATTTTTGATATGACAAGTATGGGTCGCAATACAGCAGGTATTAACGTCGTGCGATTTGCAACGAGATAGTTTCCCTGTATAATTTTCTAAACTCTCAACTTCGCGCGAGAGGATTTTCCGAGTTCTGGTGTTGAGATTGATTCGGAGTGAAGGAGAAAAAAAAACTCGCGCGCGCACAACGCGTTGCGTACAACCGCACTCCGGAGCAGTTTTTGACGCGCCCGGGTGACTCTATCTCCGCACAGCGTCCCGAAGGGGAGAGCAGTTTGACGCGGTCGAAGTTTCGCGAATTAAAGAGTTACGGCCGCGGGTGGTCGGTACGAAGGCTTCAAGATTGCTCGAAAACCGTCGCGCGAGGTGCGCAGGAGTGGCAGAGCTGCGGAAATAGGGGGTGCCGGAGTAATGCAGCGGGTGGGCGCAGCCGGGGGGCCCGGGCCCATCGGCTTTCAGGGCCCTCCAAGATCACTGAAAATCTCACCTGTGAACATACAGGACGAACCTGCCGATCCCACGCAGAGTGAGTACACGAGATTCTTTTTTTTTTTTTTTTTCTTTTTTTTTGTGCGAAATGTCAAAAGTGACAGCAATATTATTTCTACAATTGATTTGCGCGCAAAACAACAAAATGCACATTTCACATTTTTGTTTTTTCTTTTCTCTGACGAAACTTTCGCGCACACACACGTGCGAATCAAAGTCGAGGAATCGCAGCGGAGACAAATCGACACCACACGAGATGCAATTGGTGACCTATGGTATTTCTAACAATTATATGATTTGATTAAAATCCGCACTTTTTAGAGAGACCTCGCGTTCGTATCCATTAAACAATCAGAAGTACGGAGTGATTTTTAATGTCGACTTTATCGTCTTGTGTAATTGCTTTGATTGACCTTGATTGCATCACAAACGATATCGTTTGATTGAAAACAGTTTTTTTACTGTAACATTGAACTATTCTTTTCCCATTAATCAGCGATAATTAACAGCTTACATGACTACTATTTAAATCGCTTGTTTAAAAATTCAACTCTCTCGGTAATTATAGCTTTGTACCTTCATTTTATCGCGCGTTACGTTCCGTAACTAGATTGTTAAATGATCATTTTCTCATATTCGTTATTTCATCTCGCGGAGTCGTTAGAGATAAAAATATATGTTAACTCATACAGACACAACGCGCGAGGAAGCACATTTATGATTGTCCTTAATCTCCCATTTGACCTTTTGCGCGTGGAAAAAAATTATTTTTCTTTACATTTTTTAAAACTCGACTGACACGTAATCACTGAACTAATCACAGGAATCGATTGTGGTGTTAAAAATCTACGTATACGCGGTCTTTGTTTAATATTATATCTCGGTAAGCGAAAGGCTGATCGTCACAATATATGACTTTTCTTATTTATTGTGCAGGGAACATATACCCGGAATTGTCTTTTGCGATTATGTATAATACACAGAGCAAGTGTTGTATTGTATATATATATAACAGATAAAACTGCTGTCACGTTGGTTGGTGTATTCGTGACTCGCAATTTCGTTTTCGAATAATACGTATTATTACTAGGAATTCACAGTTTCGTTCTGTGCGGAAGTGTCTTTAACGTATAACGGAACACAAACGTGGACAGAGCTCGTTTATTATTAACCCGAAGTTATCGCATTTTCATAATCGGATACATGGAATATTTAACGGCCGCGAAACGATTCGCCGATGATTTTCTGTAATTAAATGTTACAGTATTGCGTTTAACACGTGTTTTTCGCGCGCGCGCGTGCGTGCGCGCGTCTCGCTCGCTCGCTCGCTCGCTCGCTCGCCCCGACGAGATCGCAATTATCGCGCGGGACAAACATTTAATATATCTGCCGTATTTATCGCTCATAATTATTACCGCGCTATATTATTCGCCGGGCATAAGAATGGCAAATGCGTGTACCGTGCGTTCGCGCGCACCGCAGGCGCATCGCACATTTTACGGTGAAATCGCGGTCTTTAATTTATACCGGCAATTAATTTGATAATTGTCAATGAAGGCAAATAAATAATCAAAACCGTAATTGCGAAATATATATGTATATAATATGCGCCATATCGTACATGCCGAAAACAAAGAATTGAAATAATATAAAATTAGAGGAACACACACGCGCGCAAAGGATATATAACGTGAGTTTGCGAGAGTCACATACTCTCAATATAGATTCAATTTTCAATCCGATAATAAATCATTTCGATAGTAAATAATACATAACTTTCTGCGGATTTTGCTAAAATTAAAGCGCGTCTCCGAATTTTAATGTAGAATTCATTAGATAAAATTTGGCCTAGATAACCAATAATTATATTATCCTAAGATTAGAGCGATGATTCGGGATGAATATATATGATGCATAATTTGAATTTTATTTTGTAATTTTAAACAAAATTAAAATATATTTAACGCGATGAAATATCATTTGTAGCGTGAAGAAGCATTCCTCAATATCAGCAACAATAAGAAATTTAAAAACAACTTCAATCAAATTAGAATGTTCTAAACAAATGCTCAAATTCGGCGTTCTTTAAACTTGCGGGGAAAAACATCGCGAACAAAATGAAAATATTTAAATAAAATACTCCAATCACGCATAAAACTTTTGCAAGAAATTACACGTTAATGCTTCGATGTAATGCACTTCTTCCAAATCTGTTTAAAATCTTGAAGGGTTCGATAAATTGTTTGAAGATAGTCTACCGAATATTTACAACACATTGTGTTTATTACAACACAATGTAAAACTTGACGTTTGTTGTACTTGCATTTTTTTCTATTGCGAAAATGAATGCTTTTTGTTTAATTACCAATAAGTGTAAGATAACGCTGTTTTTTATCACTCGCTTGCGTTCGTGAAAAACGTTTGAAATATATAACGTACATTATGCGTTTTTGGACATCTTCCCCCAAAATCTACTTTAGATTTCAAAGAGCAATATATGAGACGATTATATCTACACAAAATCTCAGCAATTATTTATTACATCTACTGAGAGCGATCACTTTTTTTTTTTGCTCGAAATCCTGTGAGCTTACAATTCATTTGTGTGCATCTAACCGCGGAATGTTGTCAGTGAACTACCGAGCCTGTGATCGAAAATAGACTCGATCAGAGTTTTACTCCGCATGCACCCATCGCATTTTAATAGCGGACCGCTTTTAGTAACCTCTCTCTCTCTCTCTCTATCTCAAAACATAGGAAAAACTAAAACCTGTTTGATTAAATTCGCTTTATAATACAATTGTAACGCTTTTTTTTTCATGACAATGAATAAAATATTTCCATCAAAACGACTGACTTATTTCTCTCCGAAATCACAAATTCGTGAAGTCGCAGATATATGCGACACAATATTTGCAACTTCGCCTGCTATATTAACAACTGACCGTGTTTGCACAAAAATTTTTAAATAAGAAGCACAGTCTCGTCGAAAGACCGACAAAAGATTTGCGGCGCGTTATCAGAACGACAACGTACGCGGTGGTGGATCGACGCCGAAGTGTCTATCTTCTCGTTTTTCTTCCCGCGCATCCCCAAACGAAATACAGTTAACGTCGATTTTAATTAACGGCTCATACATTTGCATGATTAGACCCTGAAACAGAGTTACGCGGTATCGGCATTCCGTGCATCGAAAACGACCATGACATTAACGCCGAGAATTTCTCGCTCGAGCGCTCATCAACGCATACAACTCGGTCCCGACGTCGACGTTAAATATTTAAATGTTCAATTTTTTTTTTTTTTGTTTTTTTTCTTCTCCCTTTTCTCCCTCAAGCGTGCGCGTGCGCTTGCGCATCAAACTTTATCGTGTAAGTCGACGGTGAAATAGCCGATGTAATTGGAGCAAAACGTATGCGCGCGATGTGCTTAGCGACCGCGCGTATCACTTTGTTTACTTGGCAATTTCGATCTGATGACAAGACAATCGCGGGACAATAAACGTTCCGCATGCAAACTTGATCTTTTATCTATCGACGTTGCCGATACTAATAAATCACTGTGTATCAGAAGAGCCAATGTGATGTTTCTGGAAAGTGTAAGAACAAGTTTTTTTAGACGTGTCCGAAAAATTTTACGTGAGATAAACGTATTTTATCTCACTTAATATAACGTATATATAAATAATATATATCCCAAAATACGTAACAGACGACTTTTATGTGTTATAATAATCTCTAAATAAAACTATTTAAACATTAAAAAAATAAAATTATTTAAAACATTAAGGGTACTACTATTTGAATATATACAGAAGTTAAAAAATATTCGATAAATTACGATAATAAAATTGTGAAATTTTCCGAACGACAATTTAGTCGCGAAAAATGAGGAAAAAAAATCGCTTTTACAAGAGACAAAATCTTCTCTCTCGAGTGAAATATTACTTTTGACGCTTAAAAATAACTTTTGAGATGAGGTCACTGTCAATATCGCTAAGATGAAGCACAAAAATAAAAACCGCGCGCTAAACTTTGAACTCGCGCTTATGCTCGCTCGCTAATTCTAATTGTTTGCTCTGACGTTTCATGCGAACGCAGACGATTTATTTCGTCCGCGTGAGAGGAAGGACGCGCGCACATAAGAAGCGGGGGGAAACGGCTTCGGTGGAAATCATCAGCCGATTAGAGTGCAGATGTTCTCATACGGAGATTACGAGCCGTCTCCACCCTCCGCGCGCATCGCCATCATATACACCGCGGGGGGGGTTAGAGCGGCCGGCAGGGGCGGCGGAAAGTGGATATAACGTCATAGGGTAGGCTTGATTGAATTATCATGAGTGTTTGCGGAACGGCGGCCTGCAATTGAATTAGACGCGGGGCCTTTTCTATCGGAGGAGCGTGTGGACATATATCAGTGTCTCGACATCTTTCTCTGTTTCTATTCCGTCTCTGTTTTCTCGAAGGCGCCTCGCACTTGTCTCAAATGATTCCGCGCGCGTTTAACGTTTGAAAGAGAATTGCGTATCAGAAATCTGTGTGAAATATGAGGCGAATCCCCGAGACAAAAAATATATATTACGTCTTCAAATTTATTTATAAACACGTGCGCGCGCGCGAGAGAGAGAGAGAGGGAGAGAAGAAAATATAGAATATTTTTTAAATTCTTCCTCTCTCTTCAAAAGATACAATATATAATTTTTTTTTATCGATAAAAGACAAAGAAAGATTTCCGCGAAATGATTTCCGATATATTGTCGACAACGACGTGTTGTGTTCGGACTGCGATAAACGGGAGGGGTAATAGTCATCGTTCGCCGATACAGAAAGACCGAAAGACCGTAACGCAATCATTCGGTACACAGAGTTATCTCTGCGATTGGTGAGATTCTTCGCGAGGTACAACGAAAAATCAGTGCGTACTCAGCGGTCGATCAAAGGCGCGCCGCTTCGGTGAAAAACGCGCGTCGCGCTGCGGCACGTCGAACTATAGACGTTTGATAACGTTCGCACGGCTTATCTCGCGGTTAGTTGATTA